TGGATATATAATTATTTGGTATAATTATTGGTGTGTGTATATATGTGTGTGTGTGTGTGTGTGTGTGTGTGTATCTCAAAACTTCTTTATCCATTCATCCATGGGTGATCATTTACGTTGTTTCCCTATCTCGGCTATTGTAAATAATGCTGCAATAAACTTGGGGGTCCTTGTATCTTTTTAAATTAGTGTTTTTATTTTCTCTGGATGAATACCCAGAAGTGAAATAGCTGGATCATATGGTAGTTCTATTTTTAATTTTTTGAGGAACTTCCATAATGTTTTCCACAGTGCCTGCATCAATTTACACTTTCACCAACACTGGGAATGGGCTCCTTTTTCTCCACATCCTCACCAATACTTGCTATGTCTTGCCTTTTTGATATTATCCATTCTAACAGATGTGAGGTGATATCTCATTGGTTTTGATTTGCATTTCCCTGATGATTATTATTTGAGCATCTTTTCATGTACTTGTTGGCCATCTGAATGTATTTTTTTTTAGTATAGTTGACACACAATGTACATTAGTTTCAGGTGTACAATGGGTAATGATTTGACAAGTTTATACATTATGTTATGTTCATCACAAGTGTAGCTATCAGTTCTATACATCACTTCTTTGAAAAGTATTTAGACCTGCCCATTTTTTAATTGGGTTGTTTTTTCCTATTAAATTGCATGAGTTCTTTATGTATTTTGGATTACTAGCCCTTCATCAAATATATGATTTGCAATTATTATCTCCCATTCAGTAAGTTGCTTTTTCATTTTGTTGCTGGTTTCCTTTTTTGTGCAGAAGCTTTTTAATTTGATGTAATCCCACTTGTTTATTTTTGTTTTTGTTGTTTTTGCTTTCAATGTCAGATTTTTTTAGAAAATCATGAAGATCTATGTTAAGGAGCTTACCTCCTACATTTTCTTCAAGGAATTTTATGTTTTTAAGTCTTTTTTTTTTAAGATTTTATTTATTTATCTGTCAGAGAGAGAGAGAGCACAAGCAGGGGGAGTGGCAGGCAGAGGCAGAGGGACAAGCAGGCTCCCTGCTGAGCAGGGGGCCGGATGCGGGACTTGATCCCAGGACTCTGGGATCATGCTCTGAGCCGAAGGCAGACACTTAACCGACTGAGTCACCCACCCATCCCTATGGTTTTAAGTCTTATGTTCGAGGCTTTAATGTGTTTTGAGTTAATTTTTGTGTATGGTGGTAGATAGTGGTCCAGTTTTATTCTTTTTTTAAATTTAATTTTATTTTGTTAATGTTAGTCACCATATAATACATCATTAGTTTTTGATGTAGTGTTCCATGATTCATTGTTTTCTTATAACACCCAGTGCTCCATGCAGTTTTATTCTTTTAAATGTAGCTGTCCAGTTTTCCCAGAACCATTTATTGAAGAGATTGTCCTTTCCCTACTGTATATTCTTGGCTCCTCTGTCACAAATTAATTGACCACATATATGTGGGTTTATTTCTGGGCTCTCCATTTTGCTCTATTGACACATGGGTCCGTTTTTATGCCAATACCAGACTGTTTTGATTGCTTTGAAATATAGTTTGAAATCAAGGAGTGCAATACCTCCAGCTTTGTTCTTCTTTCTCAAGCTTGCTTTGCTACTGGAATATCTTTCCATTTATTTGTGTCTTCTTCAATTTCTTTTATTAATGTCTAATAGTTTTCAATATACAGGTCTTTTGCCTCCTTGGTTAAATTTATTCCTATGTATTTTATTCTTTTCAATGCAATTATAAATGGGATTGCTTCCTTAATTTCTTTCTGATAGTTTGTGATCATTGTAGAAAATACAATGGATTTTTGTGTATTGACTTTGTATCCTGCAACTTTACCTAAGTCATTTATTAGTTCTAATAGTTTTTTTTTTTTAAAGATTTTATTTATTCAGGGGCGCCTGGGTGGCTCAGATGGTTGGGCGTCTGCCTTCAGCTCAGGTCATGATCCCAGGGTCCTGGGATCGAGCCCCACATCGGGTTCCTGGCTCAGCAGGGAGCCTGCTTCTCACTCTACCTCTGTCACCCCCCTGCACATGCTTGCTCCCCCCCCGTATCTCTGTGTTTCAAATGAATAAATAAAATCTTTAAAAAAAAAAAAGATTTTATTTATTCCTTTGACAGAGATAGACACAGCGAGAGAGGGAACACAAGCAGGGGGAGTGGGAGAGGGAGAAGCAGGCCTCCTGCAGAGCGAGGAGCCCAATGCGGGGCTTGATCCCAGGACTCTGAGATCATGACCTGAGCCGAAGGCAGACGCTTAATGACTGAGCCACCCAGGCGCCCCAGTTCTAATAGTTTTTTGATGGAGTCTTTAGGGCTTCCTATATATAACATGTCAGCTGCAAGCAGTGACAATTCTGCTTCTTCCTTTCCAATTTGGATGCCTTTTATTTCTTTTTCTTGCCTAACTGCTCTGGCTAGAGCTTCCAATACTATGTTGAATAGAAATGGTGGGAGTGGGCATCCTTGTCTTGTTTCTGATCTTTTAACTTTTCAACATTGTGCATGATGTTAGCTATGGGTTTGTCATATATGGCCTTTATTCTGTTGAAGTACATTCCCTCTATACCCACTTTTTTGAGAGTTTTTATCATAAAAAGATGTTGAATTTTGTCAAATGTTTTTCCAACATCTATTGAGATGATCATATGATTTTTATCCTTCATTTTGTTAAAATGGCATATCATATTAACTGATTTGTGGGGTGTTGAACCATCCTTGCACCCCTGAAATAAATCCCTACCTGATCATAGTGTATGATCCTTTTAAAGTATTGTTGAATTCAGTCTGCTAATATATTGTTGAGGATTTCTGTATCTATGTTCATCATGGGTATTGACCTGTAATTCTCAATTTCCTAGGACCCTTTTATCTTTTCCATTTCAGCCTTTGTGACATTCCTGGACACTATTGCCATCCTCACATGACTGTAGGGCAACTAAAACTGTTAAGATCTAGAGATTTATGTATTAAATGAGATTACCTATGAGGAAATGCTTTCATAAACTGTGAAAATATATACAAATATAAAGAATCAGTTTTAAATATTTCTCCTATAATTAAGCTGGCATTATCTTAAATCTTTTTTTTCCCCCTATATCTGAATTAATCTACAAGTATTTCTATGGCACACAGCCCATGTGTCTTGTGCCATGCATCAATCTAATAAGGATTGAGAATATGTAAAACTGGGCCCCTGCTGGGAGAGAGACTAATCAATGTGAATTTTGTATAGAAAGATCAGGCTCTCCACGTAGGTTTAAAGGAAACAGGCCAAAGTGGAGGGTCCAGGGTGGTGATTTCTGTTGGGGGTGTGGTGGGTTCAAAGCATCAGTGAGCTGCGGAGTGAAGACTTGTGAGGGAAGTTGAAGAGAAGAAACTGATGAGAAGACAGAATGAGGGGAATTATTACAACCAAAATAAGAACTGAAACCATAAAATTTAATAACTTCTGGGGAATGGAAGCCCTTTCTGAATCATCTTTCTATTCTCTGGTTCTCTGTACTCCCAGCACACACTTGGCACCTAATATTTGTTTGTATACATGTGTTTACCTTTACTTGTGTGGAACGGCTAAATAGACCATGGATAGTTATTAGAGATGATGAGGTGGTGAATCATCTAATGGAACACTGGGACTCAAGGCAAGGAAGAGGACAGGGCTGAAGATGAAATATTACACCTCTCTGTAGAGTTAACAGCAGAAGTTAGAGAAAGGCTCAAAAGGGCAGGGAAGAATCAAGCATTAAAATCCATATGTTTAAGGAAAGAGAACCAAGTGGAGCCAGTGATAGAAATAGAAAAAAATAGAGAAAACAGTGAAGAACTAAGTTGGTATCATGTGACAGAGGTCAGGGATGGAGAAATGTTTAATAACAACGATGGTAATAGTATTTATTGAATGATTACTATGTGCCAGGAACAAAGTACTGTGAGTACATTATTCTAAAGACTAAGTGCATTATCTCATGTACCTAAAATAATCCTATGACATAGGCACTATTTTTTATCTCCTTTCATAGATGAAGTATTTTTGGCTAAGAGAGGCTAAGTAGCTTGCCCAGGGTGACACAGCTAAACATATCAATAAGCCCAGACTAACTCAGTGAGTCTGGTTCCAGAGCCTCTAGAAATCTCTTCTTCTTCAAATGAGGGATCAACAGTGTCAAATATAGTAGAAAAGTCTAGGACACCAAAAACACACACACATACACACACAGAGTCATTTAATTTGGAACAAAACGGCCATCAGTATCTATTGAGAGAGAACATTTTCACTACAGCAGTGGAGGCAAAAATAAGATGGTTGTCAGAGAGATGCAGGGAATGGATGGAGAGACAAAGCAATGCGTGAGTTCCCTTTTAGGCAAAAGAAAACAAAACTGAGTAAAGGAATTCAGGTGCTCCCGACATTTGTTAACATAGGAAAACAAGAGGAAAGCCACGTTTAAATGGCTAGCAAAACCGTTTACAGACAGATGAATTGATGATACACATACATCCTTGCATATACACGGCCATACAAGTGCTAAACTTAAAGCCTAATATTCTAAATCAGAAGTAGGCAAGCGAAGGCCTTTGGGTCCAATCTGCCAGCACCTGTTGTTAATCAGCGCAGGAGCTAAGAATGCTTTTTACATTTCTTAATGGTTAAAAAAAATTGAAAGCAGAATTCTATTTCTTAACAAATGAAATTATACAAAATTCCAAGTTCAGTGTCCACAAATAAAGTTTTATTGGAATGCAGCCACACTGTTCTTTCACATATTATCTACAGCAGTTGTCTCACAACCCTGGCAAAGCTGAGCTGTTTGGAGAGATTTTATAGCACCCAAACCATATTATATTTAGTGTCTGGCCCTTTCCAGAAAAAGGTTGTCGATCTCCATTCTACATCATCTCAACCGTTTTAATCTTTTTTTTTTTTTAAGGTTTTTTTTTTCGTTTTAATCTTTAATACATATACAAAGAAAAGGAAATTATATACCTGGTAAAGGTGCTTTATTAGTTCTTGCAATGGGCATTTCTTTCCATAGATTGCCACCATTTTCATTCTCAGCTATCCAGGAGTCAACAGCTAGACAAAACACCTCACATGTGTCTATATTCTCAAGACTAATTTCTTCCAGATACCACGCGGGATCCTTTCCACTGTTGTCATGTCCGATGCGTACTTTATAGATTTCACCAATATCTTTAAGATTAATCTGCAACAAAAAAGGGGGGGGAGGAAATAAAAGTTCCCACATTTCTGATTTGATTTTTCAAATCAAAAATTCATATTCTGGGGGCCTGGGTGGCTCACATGGTTGAGCATCTACCTTTGGCTCAGGTCATGATCTCCAGGCCCTGGGATCGAGCCCTGCATCTGGCTCCCTGTTCAGCAGGAAGTCTGCTTCCCCCTTACCCTCTGCCTCTCCTCCTGTTTGAACCCTCTCTGTATCTCTTTCTTTCTCTCTCTCAAATGAGTAAATAAAATCTTAAAAAAAAAAAAAAAACATATTCAATTTTGAACTCAGTATCTGTTTTCCCCACATACACTCCTAATTTTCCTTAGAACTGTTTACTTGTAACACTATGAAATACAGTTACATATGGCAAAGCATGAATCTACTGACCATGGACAAACCAATAGATTAAATCCAGCTAGTTTTCACTACATTTTTTTTTTTAGCAACTCAATATTATTACCTTGCAAAATAAATGTTTTATTATAATGATATACACTACTTATTTGGTAGTTAGACTTGAGGAAGACAATCTAACTCTCTGGTGTCTATAATAGATTGGATATTCCCATTAAAGTGGGAGCCTGAGGGAAAAAAAGAAACAAAAAAAGACATATATGCTTCTGGATTTAAACTAGGGCTAACCAGGTAGCCCTGAAACAGAGTGGCTTTGGAAAGACTATGACTTTGCAACAGTGTTGGTAATATGATTAACAAGTAATTCTGCTTTATACCCCTTTGCACCTCACCAATTAATTAATTACCTGGCATGATAAATATTCTCACGTATCATTCATTATTCAGAATGAGCAATATTTTTCTTTTGAAAATTCTTACAGGGTTCATATGAAAAAATTGATCATTTATATACTACATTAGGTTCCTATTGCAAACAAGGACCTTTATTGCCTCCCGATTCTGTGAGTCAGAAATCCAGACACTGTGTGGCTCAACTGGGTTCTCTGCTCAGAGCCTTACAAGCTGAACTAAAGGTATGGGCTAGGCTGGGCTCTTCTCTGGAAGCTCTGAGGAGAATTCTGCTTCCAGGCTCATTCAGGTTGGTGGCAGAATCTAGTTCCTTGTGGATTTAGAACTGAGGTTCCTTCCTTGATGTGTAGCCTCTTCACCTCCAAGCCAACAAAGGGCACACTGAACCCTTCTCATTCTTGGCATCTCTGGCTTTCCCTCTACTACCAGCAGGAGAAAGATGTTTGCTTTTAGAAGCTCATACGATTTAGATTAGGCCCACCTAAATAAATCAGGCTAATTTCCCTATATCAAGGTACTTAAATTGCATACTATGTGACACCATAATTAGAAACAATGTTATCAGCATTCTGGTATTTTGTCTCTCCCTCCACCTAACTTCTTTTCTCCCCTGTGGTATTATCATAAGTATTCACATCGCCACTGGAAGTTACTCCTTCAGAGTTTACGCAGACCTGCCACATTTTTTTCTACTAAAATATTTTTTATTGGTAATATAATTTTGGGTTGCTGCACTGGTGATAATTGTTGTGAATAAATTCTGTCCTCTTGGTCAGGATGCACAGAGTTCAATAGAGTTGAGCTAAATAATTGGGCCCCTCCTATTATTTCTGGAACAAAGTGGCTATAAAAATACTATCATGTAAAAAATCTTAATATTGGTGCTTTGTACAGATAACTAACTCCTATAGAGTTAGAGTTGCAGATAATAGGACATAGGGATGAAAATAGAGGCCACATCCCAAAACGGGTTCAAAGGCAAAATTGTGTGGTGGCTAAAACCCTGGTTTTTTGAAATGAGATCTAGAGTTGAAAGTTCCTTTGCCCTTGCTGGTTGTCTAAGTGTCAGTAAGTATGCCTACTCTTCTAAGCTTCGGTTTCCCCATCTGAATATTATAATAGTACCAATCTTATGAAGTTCTATAGCACTCAGTATTAGCAGACATCATTTTATCAATCAGAATTATGTGCTAAATAGAAAATGCCTACATCTACCTAATATAAAAACAAGACTAATCTAAAGACAGGGTCCAGCATTCACAGAAGGAAATTAAACTACTAATTAGCCATCATATGTAAAATTGAAATTGATAAGGCCTATGTCTAACCCTGCTGGTAAAAGCAGATATTTGTCAACAAAACCTAAATAGTGTCATGGTCCAGAAACTAAATCATTACTCACACACCATGCATGCATGGGTTGGCCAATTAAAATAAGAACCAAATGACTGTACCACAGTCTGGCTAGTGCTATAGATTGCTCCCAAATTACTTCTAACGTATTAGCCAAACTGATTTGGAACTCTTTGTTCTGGCTTAATACAGTCAACCTGGGTCACTTCAGCTTTAATAAAGTACAAATGCAATATGCCAAGAAATTATTCTTGCATATAACGGTTTTTAGTTTTCTGCATTTAACTTCCACACTTGAAAACACACACATGCAGGGCGCCTGGGTGGCTCAGATGGTTAAGCGTCTGCCTAAGACTGAGCACCATGTCCATGAAGGAGAGAAGACAGAAAATGCTATGAGCAAAACCAAGAAGAGTGAATGTACTTCTTGAGTCAGAGCTTATTGTTCCTGAAATTTCACAAGTCTGGGTTTTATTCTCTCCATCTGCATGGAAGCTAGTATCCTTTCAGGTATGAATAGGTACTTCATAAAAGCAGATGCTGCTGTCAAGAAATGGACCAGGAGCAACTCCTTGGCTGGAGGTGTCTAGCGTCACACATAAGCACACAGGTTTTGCGGCAGAGGGATCCACTGCAAACCCAGCACTGAGACCCTCGGGCACTGGGATCTTGAAGAAGTGATATCTTCTCTCTGAACTTCACTTCCCTCATTTATAAAATGGAGTAATTAAGAATCATTTTACTGGGAGAGTGTGAGGATAAGGGACACATTAATTAGCAAAACTCGGTCAAATAAACACATTATTAGGTTCTTAATAAATAGTGGTGATTTTAGTAATTATTATTATTATTACTAAAGGGAGATGGAAGGAAGTGGGTGAAGAATACAGAGGGGAAAAGGAAACTAAAGTCCATTTACTTCAATCGTACAAGTATTCTTTCTCAGTGCCTTTGACCCTCCAGCACTGAGCTGCGCAGATGAGAGAAGGAGACTAGCCAAGGGAGATCAGTTTTCTCCACCCATCAAGTCCTCACCAGCCAGGAGCATCAGCAGAGTTCCCCGGCATAGGATTCCTGACCACGGTGTCCGCCTAACTAGATCAGAGTCCGGTTCTCGGAAGCAGAGCATGAGAAGAAAAGCACAGAGCTTGTCATCTGAAAACTAGGCTCGAGGCTGGTCGTTTCCTGTCCCTGAGTCTCAAGTTTCTCTTTGTAAAAACAGGGCTTTTGTAAGCACCAAATTAGATAATCTTGGGAACACACGTTATAATTCATAGACTGACAGTCCATGCAGATCTCAGAGAACAGGGTAGAGAGGCTTGGAGAGTTCTCTAAAGAATAACCAGGACTTGTACTGTACCTTGTGTTCAGACCACCCCTTTACTTGGAGCTCCCTTGATTGAAATAGTTGGGAAAATTAGGTAGCATTTTGAGGGGTACTCAAGAAAGAATTTGAGGATTATCACAAGAAAGGACATTTTTCATTTGTCAATGAAAATGGAAATATTCATGCAAAAAAATAGCAGAAAAGATTCTCAAAGTTGAAAAATGAACTTGCAAAAAATACATTCTCTTTGCAAACTGCACAATACAATGCATAGCCTACCTTTCCAAAGATGAAGGCTTTTGTGTGCTAAAAGTTGTATAATCTATTAGAGAGTGTTCAGTTACAGTACCATGAAGGAATAACCTGTATTGTCTAGGAAAGCAACATGACTGGTGGATCTGTGAATATTCATACAAAAAGTTTATGGAAAAAAATATTCCCTCTTCAGGTATCCAGTTTTGGAGTTTTTTGTTTGTCTGCAGAAAAGTTTTGTAACAAAATTTTTAAGATTTTTTTTACTTGAGTATAGTTGATATAGTGATTCAACTCTTCTATATGTTATGCTGTGCTCACCACAAATATAACTACCATCAGGTATCTACTTTTAGATGTAGATCTTAATCCAGACATTTTTGCATATGTCATTACTGGCCGGTTGGATTTTTCTAACTTGAAGATGCTAAATCTCTTCATGCAAACTTGAGTATTTTTTCAATAAATGGCAACAAAGTTATTTTTTCAAACAATTCTATTCTGGAAGCAAATTTCATGTTCTACAAAGTCTCTTTTCTCTGTTTAAGAACACTTTCATAGTTTGGAAAAAAATATACCGGAACACAAATTAGCTTTGTGATCACTGAAATCCCATCTGGGAGCATTTCATTTCCATTCAATATCTCATTTTACATATTTATTGCCTTTCAAAAGAACATTATGCCTTAAAAGCTCAGGACTGGAATGTGGAAGTATGGACTGGAAACTTGGGCTCTAATATGTTAGAAACATCGAAAATTATCAGGGTAAATTTTTAAGAGAAAGTAAGCAACACTACTAAAAACAAATATACAAAAACCATAGGCATAGATAATTTGCTATATTGTACATGACAATGAAAATAAGATGCTTTTCACCTCCACATGCCCTAGGCAAAAATTCTTGATGTTAATCAGTCCCAGTGCCGCCCCCTCCCAAAGAGATAGGAAGCCCTGATACTCCCATAATACTTCATAGGCTACCACTGGTGAGTACTTTTCCTGGAGCACTGCCCCCTGGCTTTTTTTGTATACCAACAATGCCCTTCCTCTTGAAAGAGCTGGAAAAGAAACCTTTCCTGGCTTAATTAGTAAATGATAGATTTTTTTTTTTTAAGGGGGACCTTTATTGTCCTAGAATGTTTAGGTTTCCTTCTGAAGCTAGACAGGAGTGCCTGAATTGAAGAATGCCTTATTTTTTATTCTTGGTGCCAGTCACAAGCCAAGTTCAAAAGCCCTGGTCTAACCAATCTTAAAAGGTTTAAAGAACCTCATTATCTCAGATGTGACTATGTTTTCCCAGTCCCCAGTCCCCAGTCACTGACACTGACCTCATCTGTCAGAGTAAACAGCTTCTCACACAGTTGGCTACCCAGTCTCTAAAGACTTAGAAGCTACTAGCTCTAAACTAAGTGTGGGTACATTACAGACCCTAGTCTCAATTTCTTGAGAAAACTTTAGGATTTGGTACTTTTTGGTTGTTGACTTCATCTTCCCTACTGGGAACTCTTCCATACTGGGAACTCTTCCCTACAAAGAACTCTTTGAAGACCTCAGCTCTATCTTCCTTTCTGTATCCTTAGTATATACAAACATTTATAACAATTGTTGAATAACTAATTTAATTTTGATATTTTAAAATTTTCATATGTTTCCTTCATTCTCTTTGCTTTCTATCAAAATTTTGCTGGGTGGAAAAAACTGTTGATAACATGCAAAACTATGATAATTTGCTATGGCATACTCCTGGTAAATATCTGAGCCCTGATAACTAGAAAAAAAGTTCTTAGGCATACTATGAAATTATTGCCTTTTAAAAAATTTAGTAATATTTTGCGGGGGGCGGAGCAAGATGGCAGAGGAGTAGGAGACCTGGATTTCGTCTCCTCTCAGGAATTCAGCTGGACAGGGATCAAACCATTCTGAACACCTACAAACCCAACAGGAGATCGAAGAAAGGAATAGCAACAACTCTCTGAACAGAAAAGCGACCACTTTCTGGAAGGTAGGACGTGC